CCTAACCCCCAGCATCTCAGAGTGTGACTTTATTTGGATATAAGATCTTTAAAGAGGTGACTAATGAGATCATATGGGTGGGACCTAATCCAATGTGACTGGTGTCCTTCTAAGAAGACGACTATTTATAAGCCAAGGAAAGAAGCCTAAGAAGAAATCAACCCTGCTGATACCCTGATCTCAGACTTCTAGGCTAGAAGTTCAGTTCTCCAGAACTGAGAGAGGGAATACGTTTCTACTGTTTAAGCCGCCCAGCATGTGATATTTGTTAGTGGTGCTAGCTGACCCGTACACGTGGCTCAACCAGCTGTGAAGTCACATCGTCTTCTGAGCTGGCTCAGCCCCACCGCCTCCCGAGGCTTGTCCACGGCAACCCCAAAGGGTCTCATGGGTGCTGGCCTCTGATCAGCGCAAATCCTCTGAAAGCGAGCTGGGGCTGGCCTTAAGGGGATGCCCAAGGAGCAGCCAGATAGCCAAGGGGTGAGCGGTCAGGGCTTTGCAGTCTAGGAGGGAGGGCTGGATGAGCAGGGAACGCACAGGGGCTGGGGCAGGACAAGGAGAATCGAAGTGGCAAGGGCGCCCCCCTCCCCCCGCTCTAATCAGAGTAGCTCTTATTTTATGTGTTATGTCTTGGGCTTCTGCATCAGAGTTTGTTAGGCTGCCTAAAAACAAGTTTTAAAACCACTGAACTTGAATGATCCTTAAGGCCTCTTCGCTTCCAAGAGACTCTACCATTGTTTCTCACAAAGAGAAGAAAGAGAGACAAATTAACACAGGCCTGTTTAGCAGGCCTGAACAACCCCTCCCTTCATTGGGCCTCCTTCTGAGGAGAGAAAGGCATTTGTCTCATATGTGATTATCTGTTTGTTGGTATAATCTCTGAAGGGATAGACTGTATCCTTAAGTTTAATTATAAATGTACCTGGCAAGGTAATGAAATATCAAGTTCACTGGAAACTTGCCACTCTACCTTGCTTTCCTGTTGTCACATGGCCTGCAGCGCTGAATCTCAGTAGGACTTTGGTGCTCAAGGAATCCACCTTCCTTTTCTGGGGTCTGAAGTAACCCACCTGGGTTCTAGGTGGGTTCAGGCCGAACACAAAGGGCTCTTACAGCATAGCAATGCAGGTGTAAAATGCAAGCCAGTTTAAGACAATCATCGCCAGTAATACTTTACCTTCCACTCATTTGTTCCAAAGAACACTGCTCTAAGAAAATAATCTTCCATAAAACAGTCTCCTGAAATAATTAACATCTGAACAGGAAGGGACTATTTTTTTCCCATATTGATGTATTCCGTTGCTAGGAGATGGGTTTGGAACAGAATTCCTAAATTAAACTTCCTTGCAGACTGACTTGTATTGAACCTGGCTCTCTAAGAGAACACACTGCATTTATCATGAGCATCAGTGTGCAAAAACCTGTCATTTCTGAAGCTAGAAGACAATTAACCAGGTCAGCAAGCATATAATCCAGGCATCTTACCATCATATTAAAATAAGAGTATGTTTATGAGAGGCAGCTGTGCTGTGGGGGGAAAAGTGCTATATTAGGAGGGAAAAACATCCAGGATTTGTCATTTACTAGCTCTGCAACCTTGGAAGATTACTTAAGAACTCTCAACCTTGATTTTCTCATCTATACATGGGGACAATATTTTTTTCATAAGTTTGTTATGAAGTGTAGTTAGGTATTGTATGTAAAATGCCTTTTAAAATATAAAATGCTATATGGATATAAAAATTATACAGGCTGATAATAATTATATTTTACTGTAGAATAAGAAGCATGGCCCCCACATTTAAAAATTCTCCTTTTGTTTGTTGAAATTTATCATGGAATAATATGATTAAGAAGTAGTGCAGGGGCCCCTGGGTGGCTCAGTCAGTTAAGCGTCTACCTGTGGCTCAGGTCATGATCCCGGGGTCCTGGGATTGAGACCCACATTGGGCTCCCTGCTAGGGGGAGCCTGCTTCAGCCTGCTTCTCCCTCTCCCTCTGCCCCCACCCCCTGCCCCCACTTATGTGCTCCCTCTGTCCCGCTCTACACTCTCTCTCTAATAAATAAAATCTTAAAAAAGAAAAAAAGTAGTGGATGGCTTACACCATACACAAAGATAAACTCAAAATGCGTTATGAACCTACATGTGAGGCCTGAAACCATAAAACTCCTAGAAGAGAACACAGGCAGTAACTTCTTTAACATTGGACATAGCAACTTTTTTTCTAGATATGTCTCCTGAGGCAAGGGAAACAAAAGCAAAAATAAGCTATCGGGACTTCATCAAAATAAGAAGCTTCTGCACAGCAAAGGAAATAATCAATAAAACTAAAAGACAATCTATTGAATTAGAGAAGATATTTGCAAATGACATATCTGATAAAGGGCTAGTATCCAAAACATGTAAAGGACTTATGAACTCAGCATCCAAAAAAACAAATAATCCAATTAAAAAATAGAAGACATGAATAGATATTTCTCCACAGAAGACATCCAGATGGCCAATAGACACATGAAAAGATGCTCAACATCACTCATCATCAGGGAAATGCAAGTCGGAACTACAAGGAGATATCACTTCAGACCTGTCAGAATGGCTAAAATCAAAAACACAAGACAAGAGTTGGAGAGGACAGAGAAAGGGAAACCCTCTTACACTGTTGGTGGGAATGCAAACTGGTGCAGCCACTCTGGAGAACAGTATGGAGGTTGCTCAAAAAGTTAAAAATGGAACTACCCTATAATTTGGTAATTGCACTACTGAGTATTTACCCCAAAGTATACAAAAACACTAATTCAAAGGGATACACGCACCCCTATGTTTATAGGAGCATTATTTACAATAGCCAAATTATGGTAACAGCCCAAGTGTCCACTGATAGATGAATGGATAAAGAAGAGGTGGTATATATACACACAGGAATATTACTCAGCCATAAAAAAGGATGAAATCCTGCCATTTGTAACAACATGGATAGAGCTAGAGAGTATAATGCTAAGGGAAATAAGTCAGTCAGAGAAAGACAAATACCACACGATTTCACCCATATGTGGAATTTAAGAAACAGACAAGTAAAGGGAAAAAAAAAAAAGACAAACCAAGAAACAGACTCTTAACTCTAGAGAACAAATGGATGGTTAGTAGAGGGGAGATGGGGGGGTGAAATAGGTGATGGGGATTAAGAGGACACTTATCATGATGAGCACTGAGTAACATATTAGACTCAACATAAGAATTGTTGAGTCATTCTATTGTATACCTGAAACTAATATAACGCTGTATGTTAACTATACCGGAATTTAAAAAAACAGTAGTGGAACTGTTTCTGAGTCTGGTTTCCCTGCTGGATTGTGTGAGCTCTCAGGACAGGGACCAGCACTAACCATGCCAGGCAGTGCTGGCCCATGAGGCATCAGAAATCAGCTCATAGAGGGAAAGGAGAAAAGGAGGGAAGCAGAGAGGAAGGGAAGGAGGAAGGGAGGGAGGATTTTCTTAAGTCATTAATAAAGCCAATTTCAAAAGAATTCCTTAGAATTCCAAAGACGGAGTAATGACAGCATCTCTGGAAAAAATATATGGTCTCTGAAGGGGTCAAGGCTCACTTGAATATTTATCCTCTGGTATGTTTGTTAAAAAAAAAAAAAAATCAGGTCACTACCCCCTGGGCACACCTCACTTTCTCCTTCAGAGTATGCATCCATTTCAGGGAAAGAAAATGCAAAATTTATTCAACTTTAAATTTTCATCTTGATAAAAGTACCAGGGAAAGCTGGCTCCTGCATTAGCCAAAGTACTTAAAAGATAAATTTCTATTCCATACAAAAATGCATGGGCTTAAAGAACAGAATTTCTGCTGACATGTATAATCAGCTTCTTCGATGTCCAAGGCTGCTTGGCAGAAACAAGAATGCAAAGAACAAGTAACATGTATCTGCTGTTTAATCGAGTGAGCCACCAACATGGCTTGGTATATGTTGATATTTTGTGATTCTGAATAACAGGCTTCCCATCTGATGTGTACATATTTAAGGCTGAAATAACATGAGAAGTTTACAACATAATTTTAAGTGGAAAAAAAGCAGGATTCAGAGTTGAATACAGAATATAATTATATTTATGTTTAAAAAATACTAGAAAGGAGAAACATATTAAAATTGCTAATAGCTGGGGGCGCCTGAGTGGCTCAGTCGGTTAAGGGTCTGACTTTTGCTCAGGTCCTGATCCCAGGCTCCCTGCTCAGCAGGAGTCTGCTTCTCACTCTGCAACCCCGCCCCCACGGCCGTGTGCTCTCTTTTTCCACTCTCTCTCTCTGCGCTCTCTCTCAAATAAATAATATCTTTAAAAAAATGCTAATAGCAGAAGTACTTAAATGGGTGGCAAGCAGCAGGCAATCTGTTTTCTTCTTTTGATTTTACAAATTTTCTTTCCTGGGTAGATAATACTTTCATAATGATAAACACATCTGAAAATTTCCAAATTACATAAAACTGTTTTAGTTAACACTGATGGCTAGAAATCTAAACTGTCTGCAGTGTTACAGAACTTGGTACCTATTAGCAAATTTGCCGTAAGACGTCCATCTAAGAATTCCTTTCCTTCTGGTTCCCGGTTACCCACAAATCCCAGCTCCTTGTGTTCGGCATTTCCCTGGAACCCCAAACAGAGCAGTACTATCTACTGACACTGGCAAACTGGGAAGGGGGGGGACACCTTAAAAACTCCCAACCCCAGCGGTGCCTGGGTGGCTCAGTCGGTTAAGCGGCTGCCTTCGGCTCAGGTCAGGATCCACGGGGTCCTGGGATCGAGTCCCGCATCTGCTCTGCGGAGAGCCTGCTTCTCCCTCTGCCTCCCTCTCTCTCTCTGTCTGTAATAAATAAATAAATAAGATCTGAAAAAAAAAAAATCCCCATTCCAATATTTCCTTTCCTTCCCTAGCTCCTTCCACGCACGCACGTCCTGAGGCTGTGAGGCAGAGCGCCGGGGCAGAGACGGCACTTACCGCGACCCTCTCACGTGTTTGTGTATGAAGTCGGCGTGGAACCGTGGGACCAGCGGATCCTTCTCTCCGTGCACGATTAAGGTGGGGCACTGAATCAGCGGCAGCAAGTGCCCACAGATATTCCCTGCAAGACAAACAGCACCGAGGATCTGCTTCCATGTGACCAGCATGCCGAGGGAGTCAGAGGAGAAGCAGGGGGCTGGGGCCTGTCCTGCCTCCCTCCAGACCTCGGTGCCCCTGTCCCTAAAAGAGGTGGTCTGCATTAGATGGGGTCCGAGGGGTCTCCTAGCTCTCACAATCTGTGGGCCTCCTTTTCTGGTTCTCTGCTTTTTTTTTTCTCCTTCTTGGAAAGTTCTAGTAAACAAGCAGTTTTGCCTGATTATATGCATAATTTATGCGAAACAGGAAAATAAACACACAAAAAAACCCCACAGCTCTTTATATTATGGAGAAGAGTCCCCAGTTTGCAAAACACTGGTAGGTGCTTGGCATCTGAAAAGCTTTTCCCTTGAAATAATGTCTTACGTGGTCCCCGGGGCCCCAGCTACCCTCAGAGCTTCTATACCTCCTGTGAAGTTATAACTTACACATAGCAAATGAGCTTCTCTTCATTCCTCCTGCCTCCATGACATTCCTGACTGCCATACTCTGGAGATGATAAGGGCCTCACCTCCATTGTAACAACCTTCCTGAGGCGGATGAGGAACAACCTGGCTCTGGTCCTGTCCTACTGTTTCCCGCCGGGGAAATCTTGGTGGTTCCTCAGTGAGGAGTTTCAGCCTCCTCCCTGGTCAAAGAGGGGATAGTTCCAGTTCTCTGGGGTGGCCGTAAGGCCAAAAAGAGGTGTCCTATCTACAGTTCTGGGCAGCAGGCAGGTACTCCATAAAGTGAGCTCCTTCCTCCTCTGCCTCCTCCCGGCCTCTGCAGGGGTCACTGGGGCCCTGAGAAAGCTGGGAGCCAGCCCACTGGGGTGCTGCCCAGGGACCTGGCCTATCCCTCCTCCTCAGTGGCCGGGGTTGGGGGCACTGCCTGCTAAATGAGAAGGGGACGGGTTGGCCAGAGAAATACTTCTCTAGGTCTCAGAAGCTGCCATCTCCTGTCCCTGGGATGACACACAAGTGTTAACTGCATAATCAGCGGACGAAGTGAGCAGTGTCCCGAGCACTGTGGGTCAGACACTGTTCGCGTGGGTTCATGCCCGTGACACATTGCCTTACCTGCTGTAGCTCACTTGGTCTGACAATCATTGGTAGATACTGTACTTTTCCAAAAAGAGTCCTAATAACCTTTTATCAAGCGCTTACTCTGTACTTGGTCCTGCACCACAGCTGAACATGCAGAACCCTGTTTAGTCCTCAAAACACCTTAACGGGGTAGTCATCAGCTGCTTCGGCTCGCAGGTGGGGAACAGCAGCTTAGGGAAGCTGAGTAGTCTGTCCATCACTCTGACAGCAACCAAGTGGCAAGGCCAGACTTCACACCCAGGCCCGTCTGACTCCAAATCTGTGCAGCTAACCCCTATGCTAAACCGAGCATCTACCAACGTGCACAGCGTACAATTATGAAAAAAAGGTGTCCTGTGAAGTTAATGAGTGTGGAGGGGAGATAAGTAGTTTATTAACAGTCTTGCTGTAAGATCACTGCTATAGTTCCTCTATATTTTGACATTTTCCCCCTCCCTTTCTTTTTTTTAAAAACTGTATTTGATTTTTTTTAATTTTAGGTTTACAGCAAAATTGAGTGGAGGGTTCAGGGATTTCCTCTGTACCCCAGCCCCCCACATGCACAGCCTCCCCCACTATCAATATCTCCCACCCAAGTAGGACATTTTTACAACTGATGAACCTACACGGACACATATGTCCTCATCACCCAGAGTCCAGAAATTACATCAGGGTTTAGTCCTGGTTGTTGCACGTTCTGTGGGTTTGGGCAAGTGTATAATGACATGGAGCCACCATTATGGGATTACAGAGTATTTTCACGGCCCTAAAAATCCTGTTTTGGACCTTCTAACAGGTGAGTGTTGGGATCTTGTTATTTGGCTCATCTTTTAATCAGGTTTTCTTCTTATTGTTCAGGTTTAAGAGTCTGTTGCAAATCCGGATAACAGTGCTTTATCAGATATGCCTTTTGCAAATATTTTCTCCCAGTCTGTGGCTTGTCTTTCCATACTCTTGACAGGGTCTTTCGCAGAATGGAAGCTCTGGATTTTAACAGATACAGGATGTATGTTTGAGCTGCAGATTTAATTCTGCTTCTGCCTCTGAATCTTCCTACCCTGCTCTCTAGTCAGGAAAGCACAAAAATTTACATTTCAAGAATGTGCCTTCTTTAATGGAGAACTGTCTTAGACATCTTTATGGCATTTTTGTTTTAAGAGCTGAGGGAGACACATTTTCAAAGATCTATTTCTTTGGGTGGGTACTGCACTGGAACAGGATATATTTGCTGTTTTGAACTTGAACCAGAAAAGTAATAGTTCCAAATGTCCTTTTCATTGTGAAAGTTTTGATAGGTGACTCACTCTGGAAATGATTACCTAATAGATCAAACTGCTCCTTCAGCTGCAGCCATTTTGTCACGAATGTGCTCCCAGATTTGATCTCAGCTACCCTCTATTCTTTTAGCAGTTAAAATAGAAGAGTGAGAGATTAGCAATGTAAATAGCTATTGAAAAACAGACTTCAATTCAGAATTTCTCTTAAAGATGTCAGTTCTTCCTGTTAGTGGAACTCTTGTTAATTTTTCCGATAAAGACGGAATTAGAGTCACATAACTAAGTTCTGAAGGTGGGAAATAAACTGAACGCTCTTCCTCAGGCTAATTCTGCTGGAGCTGAAGGTCATGACACAAAGGCCCTTCTTTTTTATCCTGGTAAGAGAGGATGTAGCAGGGTCACGCATCTAACTGTGAAAAAGAAAAAAATATGGTACGCGCGACAGCTTGTTTTCTGATTACCCACTCCAGAATCAGAAAAAACAAACACTATTTGAGGCTTCTGGAGAATTATTTTGTCATCGTACACACAAAGGATTAGGAGGAAAAAAGAATAGTCTGCTATTAAAGACTTCACACTGTGAACCCTGATACACAGAGTAGCTGTATACACATAGTATCGCTTAAGGCGGATTTATTATACAAGAGCATGTATGGTATACAATCACTAGCTTCCTCTGTTCACGCATTAGTGTGAAAGGACAGTGGGTGAGTGCATTCATCACCAGGGAATTCTGGAACACCAGGGGAAGAATGCAAGCAGCCTTTCTAATCAGCAAAGGAACAGCTAAACAGTTCACATAACCTACCATCTGGAAGACGTTTAAATTGTTTTATGCCATCCACCCACTTCTCGCAGGTTTTGGCAAAGTAGTCATAGCCATATAAGGTTTCAAGAGGTTTTCTTGTTTTCTCACTCCATTTAGAAACATCTCGGATACCTGAAAAATAGAAGTATTGACAAGAACAGGTTTAGTCTAGGGGCACCCGGGTGGCTCAGTCGGTTAAGCATCTGCCTTCGGCTCAGGTCATGATCCTCAAGCCCTGTGTTGGGCTCTCTGCTGGGCAGGAAGCCTGCTTCTCCCTCTCCCCCTGACCCTCCCCCAGCTCGTGCTCTCTCTCTCAAATAAATAAATCTTTAAAAAAAATAAAACACATGAACAAATTCAATTACTTAGCCCACTCCTTTCCGTATTTCTTTAAACACACTGATAATTCTAATGCTTCTGAGCATATTACATCTTGCTTAATAACAGCTTTTAACACAGTGCTTCTGCTACACAATACACCTCAAAGAAAACACGACTAATGACACGAACTCATATCGAACAATAACCCCTCCACGGCACTCCCGACAGTGCCAGGGCCCTGGCAGGCACCCTATATGTACTCAGTGAATGCAGTTACAGAGTGGAGGGAAAACTGCTGCTTACAAGTACAACTGCCTTCCAAGGCGGGCGGATGCTGTGACAGACAGCGCCGGATCCTTTCCGACCTGCACAGGTAAGCCCAGAGGTGCACTTGGAGGCTGGGAGAGCTGACCTGCTCGGCACAGGAGTGAAAAGACTTCACAGAGAGGTGCAGAGAAGTCTGGAAATTAAGAGGGTGTGGAGGAGATCTGGGAAGAAGAAAAAGGAAAGTTGGAAGAGGGGAAAGGAGAGAGGAGCCAGCAAGAGGTCATAAAGATGGCCAATAAAAAAAAAAATCTCCTACAGATATTTCTACTTTGGGCTCTATTGCAGACCACACCCTCTGCAAGGTACCCTTGCAGTGGAAAGACTAGTTTTTTTTTTTTTTTCTTAAGTAGGCTCCATGCCCAGCGTGGAGCGCAATGCAGGGCTTGAACTCATGACCCTGAGATCAAGACCTGAGCTGAAATCAAGAGTCAGACACTCAACCAAGTGAGCCACCCAGGCGTCCCTATGACTAAATTGTACATAAAACATATTCTTTGTTGCATTGTTGGAGTTGCAGCAATTAATGGAAACTAGGATATGAAGGTGTGTGTGTGAGAAAGAGAACCTAAAAAGAGAGCAAAGAGTGGTAAGACTACTCAAAAGGCAGGGTGGCTTTTGGGGGAAATGTAACTGGTAGTTGGGGGTGGGTGAGTAGAGCTGAACCCAAGATTCCTAGATTAAGTGGAGATGAAAATGGCTCCAAACTGGTATGATCCTGTGCTTCCCCAGAGTAGCAAATGTAAATCCTCTCTGAAAGAAAGCATCATCAATTTGTATGCACGGTCTTGTGTGTGTGTGTGTGTGTGTTTGTGTTTTCAGATTAAGGGTAAGCAAATATTCGCTCCTAATCACAGGTCACAACACAATCAGAATCTTTATAAAGCTAATGAAAAAACTAAAACACTGGAAGAGAAAGCTTAAGAAATGATGCAGACCACCACACAGAGAGACAAGAAGATGAACAAGAGACACGGAAGATGGGAAGGCAAGGCCCACAAAGTCCAATCAGTGCCCTGATGGATGAGAGGAGGGGGAGAGGAGAAGAATGGAGGAGAATGGACGAGAAGCAATATGGGAAGGAGGACACGGGCAAGAATGGTTTTCAGAACTGATCAAAGATAAGGGTCCACAGATAAAAACTGAAGGTAACCCAAACTGGATAAATAAAAAGGAATTCGCATCTGGACACACAACAGTAAAATAGCAATACATCAAAGAGAGAGAAGAAACCTGAAAAACAGCCAGAGCTGAGACACATTCACTCCAGAAGGGGGAAAGCTACATGGGCAAAACTTCTCAACAGTGGTCGAGAAAGGCAGAAGACCGTGGAATGGCCGAGTAAATAATCTGCCATTTACATTTCTGCACTTAGCCAAACAATCTTTCAAGAATGAGCGTGGAATAAAGACAGTATGAGATAAAAACGGAGCTCACTATTAACAGAGCTGCCCTTAAAGAACTTCTAAAAAAATAACTTGAGGAGAAAGAGAAGTGAGCTTGGGAGGAATATCTGAGATGAAAGAAGGGAAGTAAAGAAACTGATGAATGTGTCCGTAAGTGTGAAAACACAAAACTTGCCAAGCTAATGAGAAAACAGAACACTGGAACATTTTTTTACATTACAATTAGTTCTGTCTAGAAAGGAAGCGAAAGGACAAGCCACAAGCTGTGCAGAACAACTAACCCAATTACTAACCAGCAAGGGGGTAATAATCAGACTGTCAAATAACAAACACCCTGCAAATCAGTAACATCGTAACAACACTGGAAGTGTTCTAGTCTCCGGTGTTTGTTCTGTTGATAGACTTCACACGGTATGCCTGTTAACCCTATCATTTTAAAACTTTTATGTAATCTTTGATACATATAAATCAACAAAAAGACATGAATAGGGACAATACAGGAGAAGAAACCCCAGTGGCGCATAAATATGTAAAAAGATTCTCAATCTGATTAGAAAGAGGAAGATGCAAATTAAGTCCGCCAGTAAGATACCATTTCACATCCATATGACTGGCTGGGACTAGGAAGTCTGATGATTCCAAGTTTTTGCTTTGGATGTAAATTAAGGAATCTATTACGCTGGTGGTGGAAATGCAAATTTATGTAGTTGGAAAACAGCTGGTCACTGGTAACACGGCGTATTTGCATACCACAATATTCAGCAAATCTCACGTTTGGGCCTATACCCCAGACTGACACCACTGCTCATAGGCCCCAGGAGACATGTACATGAATGTTCACAGCAACAGTGAAAACAGACCTACAGTCCATTGATAAAAGAGAGGGAAAATAGAATACTTTTGCCCAATGGAATACGATACAGCATTATCATGAATGAATCTTAGAAATTCAATGTTCATTGAAAACAGTGAGTCATAGAAGATGATCTATGGTATGAAGGCACTTTGTATGACTCAAAAACAAATAAAACTAAATTACATATTGTTTAGGAATATAAACAGATGTGACAGAAGTGTTTTCAAAAAGGCATAGGGATGATCGTAGGACTCAGGCTAGAGGTAGAGGTGCACTGGGGAGGAAGCACAAGGAAAGAGTGAAGGTATAGACAGTGATCAATCTTCTGTTCCTCGGTGAACTCGTGGGTGTCCGTAATTTACACTGTCACATGTGTTGCATTATATGTATCAAATATTATACATTCAATTATAAAATAAATTTAAATACAATATTATGTTACAAAATAAAATTTAAATATATATTATATACCTTATATAATATATAGTATA